TATGGGACAGGTATCCCCTCAGAGCCCTCAAAAGAACTGACTCTTTTCATACCTTGATTTTTGACTTCTAGCCTCCAGAACAGTGAGAGAATAAATTTCTGTTGTTTTAAGCCATCCAGTTTGTGGTCCTTTGTTACAGCACTCCTAGGAAACTAATACATATGCTATGTCCCTATCACATTGAATGGCCTTCCTTTTCAGAGCCTAGCCCACACTGTTCTCAGTTCAGAATGTTTTCCACACCTCCTTCCAACTCCACTCTTTGTTTGGCAAATTTGACTTGGTTTCAGGATCTCCTTTTGGATGAAATCATCTCTGCTTTTCCTTTTGGCTTCAGGAAGTTGGCAGCATGGATCCTCATTTTTCCCACTGTAAATAGGAAAATTGATATCCTATACTATAATTACCATCTCTCCCTCAACATACTATGAGATTTTTGAAAAGAACAGAGATAACATCTTACTCATTTTTGTATACCCATTGCCAAGTGATAGAATGTACTGTCTGCTGAGTAATGAAGTCTTAACACATCCCACAAAAGGTGCATGACATAGTATACAAACTTTGGAATGACTTGAGTTAGGCAGACCAGATTGGGTTTAAAATCCAGGCTCCACCACTTAGTTGCTGGGTAATCTTGGGCAAATTGCATATGCTCTCTGTACCTCAATATATTCATCTATAAGACAGAGATTATAATTTCTTTCTGGTGGGTTATAAGAAATTGATGGGGTGTCATATGTGACTATACCTACACACCTAATAGGCATTTAGTAAATAAATATATATGTGTAAATATTTATAAGTATAAATATATAATCACTGTATTTTATTGGACATATACATAAGACTATAAAGATAAAATTAGTATAAATATCTAGAAATAAAAGGCAATTATTATAAAACTTATTTTCAAAAATGAGATCCACTTCACTTACAAATTACTGACAGAACCAGATAAAGAATCTTTGAATTTCCATTAAAATAACCACAATCTTGTTATTTTGATTGGAGAACACTGAGGACCTTGATATGTTTATTTACTGAGGGCAATTTAATTTTGGGCAGTAAAAGAAAAAGAAAAAGAAAAAGGAGAAAAAAAAACCCAGAAATGAAGAAAAGAGAAAGATAATCTGATTCCTGACAAGTCTCTGCCAACATCTAGCTCCCTAATGACTCATTTTTTTTTTCCCTAGAGAGAGAAGCTATTTTAGGCCTTAATTGTTTTGTCTCTTGACTCTTTCTGAACTAAAATGAACATTGAGGAAAGACTCACACTGTGGTTCGAGCCCAGAGCCCTAGGCTCACAGTGTACCTTGAGGGTCCCCAGGATGACCTGCTATCACAAAGGTAGTGGGGTTCTGTCAAGCTTTTAACCCCACACAAAGGCCCTTCCCAGCTGCTGTGGACTGGTTCCAAATGGAGCACTATTGTTTCTTTGGTGAACACACAAAGCAAAAGGCAACAAAATAAACATATCAGCCCCATCTTTCAGAGGTCTTATAAACCACTCACATCTGTTCTCAACATCTCTGTATCTAGCAATTTCCCAAAAATAAAGTGCATTTGTTTTCTTAAATGTAACTTGTCAATCATAAAAGATGAGTCTGAGACCATCAAACTGAGCTCCATTAGAACTGACACACTTTTATAGAACATCACCATTGCAAAACAGTATAAATGAGGCTTGGAACAAGTTTAACAGTCCTTTAAATTTAGATCTCTGAAGCAGAAGTAAATAGGGTTACAAACAGTACATGAATTAGCAATAGAGTGTAGAAGCTAAGAGTGCCCAGTTTAACTCCTGACTTTGCCACTTTCTAGCTACTACCCCAGCTTCCTCATCTATCACATGAAGATAATAATAGTACCTTCCTCAAATGTTGCTATAAAAATTAACTGAGATGATACTGTACAATGTGTAGGATGGTGTCTAGTAGATAGTAGGCCCTCTATAAGTGTATGCTATTGTCATACCTGTTATTATTGGCCATTTTAGATTTCTGCAAAAAGCACAGACTCATCTACAATGAAACACCTGGGGTAAATCATTCTTTTTCTCAAACTATCACATTTCTGGGAACCACAAAAGATTTAAGCAGTAAATTGTCAACTAAGAAAAAGCAATTCAGAGGATGAATTATTCCAGGCTTGCCTTGCCTGGAGTGGCCTTAAAATGTTCCCTTCTGCCCAAAGGTTATTACAATATATCTATAAGATTCTTACTGGTTACCCTCCAAGGCCCAAGGACTGTCAAATCTCTAATCCACTCACTTGCAACTCAGAAGCTTCTCAGCTCCATGCTCCAGGCAGCCACCACCAATCAACTGAGGTTGGCAAGGATAAAATACAACTATTTCTTATCACCAGCATAAGATGTTACAATCTGCAAAGAAGGGATGCAATCCCCTTTATAATGGTGGTACTGGGTGAGGGGTCAGGGAGATTATGACCTCTGCCCTTTAGACAAATGTCATTATACCAGAATTTCATTTCTCTACAGTCTCAGAGGATAAACTGGGAGAAGAAAACATTATTTCAGTCAAAACTGGTTAAATACTAAAGTGGGTAAGGGAGTTTTGTGTATTAATTCTTCCAGTAAATTATTCTCTATACACAAGAATTAACTCATTACATAGTAGACTCATGGCCCAAAGCAGAGCTGCCCAATGGGTATGCCAGGGATGATTACAGGTATGCAAGACATAATAATCCCTTCATCTCTTGGGGCAGGTAAGGCAAAGGTACTTAGGGCAGTATCACATACATCAGTATGCCGTGCAAATAGTATCATTTCATATGTGTGCCATGAATGGAAAATTTTGGGAACCACTGATTTAATAAATGAATACATTTTCTAAAGTATCCTCAATTGTAACTATGGCAAAACTTAAGCACTGCGTGGCTTATTCTACTTCCTATCATGGTTACCAATACAAATATGTTCTAGGAAAAATCCCGATATACATTCTTGATCTGGGAGCTCAGTCCCATAACCAAAATTCTGTTATGATTAGCTTCCTTTGTTTGCAAGGGACAGAAACGCACATGCACTAAGCTATAGCACAGATAATGAGGGCTTTTCACAAGTCCTATCAAGGGAGGCAGGAATCCCATGGGAATTAAAAGACTGAGCCTATTAAGAACAGGGTACAGAAGCTAGCAGTTTGAGAGACTCCAGCCACAAGAGATCCTAAGTCTTTACCCTGATATTCTACTAACAACATGACTTGGCTACATTCTCTCTTTCTCTTTGGGGGATGGTCTTGCATTTTCTTCCGGTTGGCTACCAGTGGGCTTCTGGACCCCCTACTTTATATCTTTTCCACTAGTACTTTGCTTTTGCTTATTTCTAGGTTCTGATTTCTCATAACTTCAACCTACTTTTAATCTCTCCTGATCCCTGCTTCTACCTCATGGTCAATCTCAATTTCCTTCTTTCTCCCCACTTCCTGTCCTGTCTGCATTTTTCAGTGTCCATTCCTTTCCTATTGCTAATTCCCTGTCTCTCTCCATACTTTTCATTCCACATTCTTGAGAATAAGCCTGTGGGTGATCTTTCCAGTTTCTCTTTCTATAGAACCTCAGGTCTTCTTCCAGGCCACTTATTACACTATGGTTTGACTAAGGTCTTGGGTCCAATCCCCACTAACTGAGAGGGGCTGGAGTCACAGGTTTCAAAATATGTTCCTTCAACAGAGCTGTAGTGGGAGAGACAATTTTCCTTTGGAGATCTCTAGGTAGGGAAGATAGAATATATCTATAGAACAAGCCTCCTCAAGAGAACAAGTTTTTATATTTTCAGTTGTCAAAGAGACTATTTAAACACATTCATTGTCTTAGAAAGAAACTCTTTTGATAATTTGCTTCTCTATCCCTTCTCTTTCCTTTTCTCCATCCATCCATCCAACAAACCAACAAATATGAATCTGTCTTTAAAAGAAATGTATGAAATTGCCAATAACCATAACTATCCTCGAGGAACATGAACCTATGAGGGTAGATAAATTGTGTATGCAAATCATTTTAAGTGTCCAAAGAATGCCAGAAGTCAAATGTTACTAAGTTCAAAGGACGGAAATGACAATTCAGCTAGTCTCTGAAAGAGAAGATCTGATATTCATTCCAGATGTAAAGAACAACATGAGCCTGAGCCTTGAGTTAGCAGAGTTTTGTAACATCAAAACAGAGATTCTGGCATTTTAAGTTCTAGAGGAAGTGCATAATGATTGTGAAAAATTCAAACCAAATTGAAAAAAATACTGTGTAAGAAATCTGTCTTTCAGCACAGCTCACTTACCCTTTCCACAGCGGAACCTTCTCTTCAAAGGTAACCACCATTAACTGTTTGCTCTAAATTTGTCCACTCTTTTCTACACTACTAAATCAAAACATTATAATGATTCCACGAGAAAGATACTATGAAACCCATTTTACAAAAAAGTAGGTTAAGTACTTTCTTTGGGTTAAGAAATTCTTTAAGTGAATGTTCCATCACACCTTGTTATTATGGAGCTTTTGACTTTAGCTGATCTAGAAGAACTCAATTCAGTTTTGTAAGTAGCTCTTGTTTTTGAGGGGTCATTTTAACCAGAACTGGAAGGAAGCCAGAGGTGGGCACTTATACATTAGCTGGATGAAAAGATTCCACTTACAACAGAAAGTCCCAAATACTTCTATGAGTACTTAGATCTTTACCAGACTTTTTGACATACTATAAGGTTTATTTTTGTCTCCAACAGAAGATGAATTTTACTTTAATAATGGGATGTTGATGAAACTGTTGAAGGTTTAAGAGAAATCAGATGTATTTCCCCTCTATGACATTACTTTTTAAATAAATTAAATGAATTTTTAATCAGCTCATGTCTAACAGAATGGTCAACTGAATTTACTTAAGCCTCTTCCTTTCACAGCCACATAACAAAATCAGATTTCTGAAGGAACATATTATAGAGCAGATAAAGGGAACTCAAGTTACGTGGCTACAGAACACTTACCCCAGACTGCCATGAAGACAGCAAAGAAGACAGTGGCTCCATTATCAAAGAGGTGAGTTACCTGGGAACAATATGAATCAGAGTTAAACTACTTTCTCATAAACTATATTTCAATTCACATTTTTTTTCAAGTTCTGTAAAAATAAATGAATGTTGCAAGGTTTCTTTGGGAGATATTCCTTTTGGATCATAATCGAGAAGGGGGTTCCTCCAACTATGAAGTAGTTTGGATAAGCAAGAGAGAATTTGTTCCCTTTATGTAGTTATCACCTAGTTGAACATTTATCAGCATCCCCAACAGTGCCAAAAATTTTTCTTTTATGCACCATAAAAACTGTTATATGTGGACATATGGATATACTTATATTTAAGACCAGGGAGGTATTATTGTCGCTGCTTTAAAGTCTCCTGATTTCTATTTTTAATGCCTCATTTATTCACTTTGAAAACATGGCTGTTTTGTTTGTGTAGTTTTGAGCAAACATTTTCTGGGCTGCCCTCTGAATTTTAGTATTACAAAGAAGAGCAGACCATTAACAAAATCCAGTTCCACCTTTATTAAAGCCTCAGGTGATCATTGTATTTACCTATTACACATAACACAAAGACAGCTAGCAAATACTTTATTGCTAGATAATATATTCTATCACAAACAGCACAGCAGAAAGCAAAGACATTCATCCTGCAAAACTGCCGCACTCATTTCCGCCTCCAGGATAAATCACACCAATGTCACGCTGAATTGAAATGATGACTGATACGCTCATAAAGCATAACCTTTTTTGGGTGCTTTATAGCTCTCTATAAAATATACTTTACTATCCCTTGGAGAATGTGCCAACTATAAACAGGTCTTTTCCTGTTATATCAAGTGTGAAGTATTTCAAAATCTTCCAAAAGTTTATGCCTTCTTTTTCTTTGAACATAGGAGAGATGAGCAGCATTCAAATACCTAATGTAGATAAAAGGCAAAAGCCAATTTATTTCATATGCCAGAGGGAGTGTTAAGTTTTACACTGCATACTGTATAATGCACTGAGCATTAAATCAAGCCCGAGAGTTCCAGTGGCGTACATGGCTGGTCTGTACTATTAGGGTGTTTATACAGAGTTGGTGGAAGTTGTAGCCTGCACCATCAGTGTAGATTCTGGAATGAATTGTGGTGGACATTGTTTTTGGCTGTTCACATTATCTTTCTCCCCTCTCCTAGTAGTAGATGTCTCTCATGTAGGTCACTAGGGGCATGTGGCTCAAATATAGAATTGATTATAGAGTCTTTCCCTGGAACTGATAAGCAAACATTTGGAGAGAGACATTTTTCTGCTGCAGTTACTTGGAAATATGTGAATCAGGAGGGGTAAGTTAATAAGGACTTCTGGTTCCTACTAAAATGGTAAGTTAAAATAGAGTGATGGCTCCTTTTGCCAAAATCAACCGTAGAGAAGCAAGAGGCGCCTGGGTGGCTCAGCCGTTAAGCGTCTGCCTTCGGCTCAGGTCATGATCTCAGGGTCCTGGGATCAAGCCCCGCATCGGGCTCCCTGCTCAGCAGGAAGCCTGCTTCTCCTTCTCCCTCTCCCTCTGCCCCTGCCTGTGTTCCCTCTCTCGCTGTGTCTCTGTCAAATAAATAAATAAAATCTTTAAAAAAAAAAAAAAAAGATAGTAGATTCTGGGAACTAACAAAACACAAAAACAAAGACCCTGAGAAACCCCCAGGCAGATGGTAAGTTGCCTTGAACAGGTGTGTGTGTGTGTGTGTGTGTGTGAGTGAGAGAGAGAGATGGAGGTGGTGGTTTACAGGGAGACTTAGTGGCAGTTCCCAAGCAAAGTGGGAACTTGGCTTGGAGTAATACACAAGTTCTACTCCAGCCTCTCCCTCAATGGTCATTGGACAGTTAGGGTCTCCCATCAAATCAGCTGCAACAGGCCAAACCACAGGGGCTGGTTCTTGGGGTAATATCAGAGTTCTGCCTGGTTGAGGAGATGAGGAGGTGCTGCCTGGCCAGCTGTCCTCAGGCATTCTCTCCTCAGTCCAGCTCCTCTTAAATTTCAGGCCTGGTAGATTATAATCAAGGAAGAGTGGCTTCATCCAATTCTGTTTTGTTCCCAGGCAGGCTTAAAAATGAAACGCTGACCAAAAAGTCCTCTGGAAAAGTGCAGCACACAGTGGTACCTGAGACACACTGTCCTTTCCTTTCTGTAAACTCACCAGGCCTGAGAGCTGAGTGTCTGGCCTCTGACCATCACCCAAAGTGGTTGACACCTCCAGGGGACAAACATGCACAGGTCAAAATAATGAAGTATTTGGGGAAGACAGCTGACTCCAAAGAATTCCAAACTAGGCAATATACATGTTCTGAAATAGACATTCTGTAACAGTAGACCAAGCATTTTTAAAAAGCATAAAAGGATGCTTCAGGAGATAGAGAAGATATAAGCCTCATGTTGTGACAGTTAGCAGCTACCTTCCCGATCATGTAAGGAGAACCTCTCTGAAGAAGGATCTTGTAGACAGATGGCTAAATAGAGACATATGAGGCCTGGAGGACCAGTTTAGGCCTTGAGGCCCTTGTTCTCAGACAGCGTGAGCTATTCCAGTACATTTTCCCAGTGAAATGAGCCAATAAGTCCCTTTTGGCTTAAGCCAATTTCAGTTGGGTTTCTGACCTTGCAAGTGTAAAGGTTGGGGATAAAGCATTCCTGACCGGCAGAACAGCCATTGATTAGATTGGATCTGGAATCTGATCGGATCCAACATCCCTATGTATCCTCAGTCCCATGAAATGGATTTGGCCTTTCTAATAAATGCTTCTAAAGGAAACTCTACAGAACTTCAATTCTTTCATCAGAGGCTTTTTTTTAGCTTTCATTTTACTAAGTATTTTAAGGAAGGACCCACTCTAAAATCCAGAATCCGAACATCTTGTAGCCTCAGTATGGCACAATGATATGTTTTGCAATCAGACAAACCAAGGCTTAGCTAACTTAGCCTTACTGCTGTGTGACCATGGATGAGTAATTTTTACCTCTGAGTAAAACGAGAGTAATAACATCTACCTTGAAGTTGCTGTAAGAATTAGAAATAAAAATGTAGGTTGCCTAGCTACTTTTATGTATACAGCCTAGCTATTATAATTATTATTGTTCTAGATCTTATATTCAGTAGGATAACTGCTCAACTAGCTCCTATAAAATCTGAGCACTCTGAACTATCCATGATGATCCTTTTAGGGAATTATCATGGATCTCCCTAAGGAGAGAACTTCACTCAGGTCATATCTTTCCATGTAAAAAACAAATATCCCCAAACAACAGTAACAACAAAAGACTGCATTTCTGAGATTCCCAAAAGGCAGAATTTGCACCTGAGTCATTCAAGCTTAACTCATGATCTTTAAATAAGATTATATTACTGACAAAACTCTCTTGATTCTCACCAAATCTTTATTTCCCAAGCTCATTCTGTTAGTTTTTCCTCACTCACTTGGGTCTATCTCCAAAGGTAGGGAGAATATTTTGTGCTTTTTTGGTCTCTTGCAGCACTTATCCAAATCTTTCTAAGATCACAGCTGGCTGCTGTGGTTTGGGCTCTACCCACATAGACTGGCACCTGCAGTGTTACAAACATCATGGATGGGTGGGCTCCTGGGCTGTCTATCAAATGTTCTCTCATTTAAAATGAACAAAACTCTGCCATGCCAACAGTGTAATTAAATAGATCCAAGCTGCAGGGATTGCAGATATTAGCAAAGTCTGCCAACCTTTTTGTATCTGAAATCCGGGAAAGTTGACAGGTAGTGGTCTTGGAAAAGTCTTCAGCAGCCCATACTCTAGCTATTGCTTTATATTAGTGACAACGTCCATAAGTAAAAAATAAGGAATTTGATGAATGTATCTAAAATTTTAATAAAGTAAGGCATAACATGAGAAAGGGACAAGAAATAACATACAATAGGCATAATAATGCCATGTATTTTTTTCAAAGTACTTTTCCATATATGTACTATCTTCTTTGGTCTTCATGATAAGCCATGGGGCAGAGAAGGTAGTTATTACTGCCTGCATTTTAGAGATGAGAAAGCTCAGCCTCAAAGAGACGGTCCATGTGCCTGGTCAAGAAGGCAAGTAGCTGAACTAGTCCTGAATCTATTTTTTTTTTTTTTTTACAATAACAATAATGAAAGAGGAAAATGATGGCGGCTCTCATTTACTGAGATTTTACCATCTGCCAAGCACTTTGATCAGTAAACATTTTATCTCATTTCTTATAACAATTGTGTAAAACAAGCAGCATGTTCTCCATTTTACAATAAGAAAACTGTGGCTCAGAGAGGTAAATTACTTGTTCTGGGACTGATAAGTGGTAAAGAGCAAGTCAAGATCTGAGTCTTTCTCTGACTCTAACAACTGTACTCTTTGCAGTATGCATACTGCAGCTTCCTGTGATGATAATCAGAGCTAATACACAAACAATGAATCATGGAACACTACATCAAGAACTAATGATGTACTGTACAGTAACTAACATAATGTAATAAAAAGTAATAAAAAATTAAAAAAATAAAATAAAATACATATACAGTAAAAGACATATTTGAATAAGAATACCAATTGAAAAGAGGTAACTCTCTCCTACAACATCAATTTGAGACTCAAAGACCAGCAATGACAAAGAGAATATAGTTACCCTCTGTTCCTCAGGGAAATGTATGAAAAATTCAATCTACCTAAAATGCCACAGATTTGAAATTACCTTGGCATAAACGCAGCTATCTGACAGCCTCATGAATGGACAATATTTATCGCACACGGGACACATGATGATATCTGTAGCTTGGCAGACTTCTTTACTGGAAGAGAGAATAGAAAAGGACTTCTTTTTAATGACATAAGAGCATGTTTTCTTCTCCAATTTCACCAGAATCCTTAACCACTAAATAAGATCCAGATTACATTTTTGTCCTTAGAAGCTTCCTAGCCTTCTCTGTTATTAATGTAAACAAGTGCCTGCACATTTTAATAATTTGATAAACCTACTTATTTGTGAGGTTGTTTCTTAGTTTTACATATTAATAAGTTAAACTTTGAAAATACATGAAGCACAACATTGGATATTATACCCTAAATGACACAAAAGTCATTCACAACACTGCACAGATTTGAAGCAATTTCATACTGAATTATAGAAACAACCAGGTACCTAAAAGTGTCTGCTTCAATCTCTATGTACATGATAAGTGAAAACCAATAATGGAGGGCTAAATAAAAATAAGATGCACTAGTTCTAGGGGAAAACTATATCCCCATTAACAATTCTACCAGAAAGTAAAATATTTTTTTACAGGAGGCAGAATCAATCACTTTTACTTTTGCAATCACTTTTAAAAAGGCACATTTATTATTTAAGATCATTGTCTAGCCTGGCAATAAAATCTCTACGAATACCTTAAACTCTATTCTGGTGAGAGAGCTAAGATAACAATCCTCAACACTGAATCATTCATTCTCAAGGCCCCAGCAAGTTGGTAAGATGTCTTTCCGGCTTAGGTTTTAAAAGGTCTTTGTAAAAACACAGAATTCATAAAAAAGGATTATTAACCCACCATTTTGCAGGATTAGCAGAAAGAGAAAAGGTAAAAAAGTCAGAAAGAGAGCAACTTTTAGCCAGTGAATGGAAGTGATTTTTCTGTGGACACAGAGTGGCTTATATGTCCATAAACGTAAAGTTTGATTCCCTGGTAACTGAAGACTACAGCAGTAGGCAATGGATGGAACATCTAGTGAATTGAGCCTTCTGAATTCTTCCCAGGAGTGACTGAGAAGGAAGTTAGAAGGAAAAGCGGGCCCACAGTCTGGGAACATCCCCAAAGCACCACCACCCGTCTCTAAATAGAAGCAAGGGCAGGCTCACCCAGAGCTCCCCATACCTGACTTGGCAGTGATCCAGAGTAATGACTCCATACAAAAAGACAAACAATCCAATGAAGGCAGCTGGGAAGAGCATGCCGGTGTACCAGCCCAACCAGGCAAAATACAACCCAATCTTCTCTCCAAAGTACCGCCTGTTTAAGACACAAGAGCCTTGCAAATCATAGTGAAGTGTTTATAGAGTTAGGCATTATAAAATACTTTGCTCAGTCATGTTACTGGCCTTGCTGATAACACATGCATCCAAGAGAATAGAGCACTTGACCAAACTAAGGCTCTGGCTTAAATTTCTTCTCCTATCATTATATATCAGAAATAGATGAACCCTTCCATAAAAGAACATGATTATATACAAGCTTGTTCTGAGAACACAAATAAACCCATGCCCATTCAGGAAGATACGACACTTATTAATACAGAACCAGGAGAATTTGAAGTATTGGTGACAACACATCATCTCATCTTTGCCATTTCTGAGTCTGTGCTTTTTTGTAACACATGTATTATAATTACATATATCTTTAAAAATAGGAAACAAAGTTATTGCAAAAAACTTTAAACACCCCTTTCAATATTTCATGGCTTTCTAAGATGTTTAGAATGCTAGAATCACAAGATATTAGAAAGAAAAAAAACTCTAATTATAGAGATTCAAAATGAATTGATAATGAGAGCAACTTTTCCTTTTAATGATTTTTCACAAGTTTCAACATCTACCTCAATAAATGTTTTTTTCTGAGACTAACCAGTCTGCCTAGTGCCCTGCAGTGTGCGAAGTTTAGAAATGTCCAGGGACTTCCTTGCTTTTTCTTTCTCAAACACCATTAACAATATAATTGACTTATGTTAGAATACAATCCAAATTCTGCTTTCTATGCCTCTCAACTGCTATATTTCATTAGTTAGAGGTTAATTACTTTTTAGTCTAATATAAGAATATTCTAATTATTATTTTTTAATTTGCAAAGTTAATTTATTCAGGAAAAATATGAAGCAAAATATTTTAGCTTATATAGACATGCTTATACTTTTTTCTTTTTCCTTTTTTTCTATTTCTAAGATTAAAAATACTTAAATACATTCTTTTAATAGATGAAAATCCATCATAGTAAAGTAGTCACTTAAATCACCTAATAGCTTTTTTTTTTTAATTTTATTATGTTAGTCACCATCATTAGTTTTTGATGTGGTGATCCATGATCCATTGTTTCTGTATAACACCCAGTGCTCCATGCAGTACATGCCCTCCTTAATACCCATCACCAGGCTAACCCATCCCCGCACCCCCCTCCCCTCTAGAACCCTCAGTTTGTTTCTCAGAGTCCATAGTCTCTCATGGTTCATCTCTCCCTCCGATTTTCCGCCCCCTTCAATTTTTTTTTCTTTTTTTCTTTTCTTTTTTTTTTTTTTAAGATTTTCTTTATTTATTTGAGAGAGAGAATGAGAGATAGAGAGCACGAGAGGGAAGAGGGTCAGAGGGAGAAGCAGACTCCCCACTGAGCAGAAAGCCCGATGTGGGACTCGATCCCGGGACTCCAGGATCATGACCTGAGCCGAAGGCAGTCGCTTAACCAACTGAGCCACCCAGGTGCCCCTTCATTCTAAACAAATGTTGCTGACCACCTGTTTCCAAATACTGGCCTCTTCCTTTTTTCTTAGAATGTCCATGGTTCCTAAAAGCTCCGAAAGATGGAATAAAGATTATTTATCCTATCTTCTACTGTGTCCCAACAGAAACTTTCCACTCTCTGAAGACTCTTCCAATATACATTCAAATACACAGATACATCCTTTTATTCATTCAACAGATAAAAAAAAAATACTTTCCATGGGGCAAATATTGTGCTAGGAGCTGAGGATACAAAATCAGCTTGGTCCCTGCTCTTGTGCAGCTCACAGGCTGACAGAGTAGACAGACATCAATCAATTAAAGAAATAAGTTTATAATTAGAACACTGGGAAAAGGGCTACAAAAGGAGATGAACACAATTCCCCAAGTATATAAACCAAGACCATGTGACCACCCTACTTAGGGAAGACTTCTCTGAGGAGGTGATTATTAACTAGGTGGGACTGGGGACAGGATCAAGTGTTTCCAGCAGAGGAACCATAAGTATAAAGACCCTACGGGAGAAGGGACCAGGTGAAATAAGGGCAGTGTGTCTGGAACACTGATAACAAGAGATGGGCTGGTGAGGTATGTGGAGGCTGGGCCTCGGAGGGTCTCATAAACCATGCTAACTGCACTGATTCTTGTCTTGAGAGAATGGGAAAATCATAAGAGAGTTTTAACATTCAAAGGACATAATCAGATTTAATTCCAAAAAGATCACTCTACTTGCAGGGTAGAGAATGGATTGGAAGTGACCAGAATGGGAAAAGGGAGACCAAGTATGGGACAACAGCCATCATCCAGGTTATCAGGTGAAGGAGGCAGTATGATGGAGGAAGTCCTGGGGTGTGCCCAGAATCAAGAGACATGGAGGAAGCAAAATCTGTAGGACAAGAGCTATTTAAGAGGTGAGATTCCCTAGATACTCCACAACTTCATTCTAATGAAATATTGCTTATGCTTTTCATCTCCATTCCTTTGGCCTATACAAATCCTACTCTCTTCCAGGCTCAGCTCTACAGAGCTTTCCACAGAGGCACCAACCCATATCTATCCTTTCCATTTTTCCAAATTGTTATAAAACTAATCACCTTCATCACACATTTTACCTAATTGTGCATAGTCTTGTATTTTCTAGTTGTTTCAAGCATGCAGAGCCTGTTTTGCTGAAGGAAACTGAGTTTCTCAGATATGGTGGCTTCCATTTGTCTTTGCCAATATCATTTAGCATCACACTAGAAACACAATGGGCGGTTAATTAATACTCACTGACAAACAGGCAGATATTTTGCCTGCAGTAATTTTCTGTAATTTTTGATCACTGTAATCCTGTAATATTGGGAGTGAGGCTGGTAAGAGCACTTGTATTTTTTTCTTCCTCCACTGTTTTACCACGTATTGAGACCAGTCAAAAGAAAATGATCTCATCTCAAAAAGTATTTTCCACTCACCCAGATCAACTGGATTATTTGTTACTAACACAAAGAATAGTATACAATTCATCAATGACCCTGGGTCAGTAGGAATAAATACTTAGTAACAAGGACTCTGGCAGGAAAAATGACTACCCAGGCAGACAAAATGTAAAGTGAGTTGTCTTATTATGTCATTTTCCTTTGGGCTCATTTTTTTTAAGGGCACTAGTGAAAGTAAACCAAATCCAGCTAGTCTAGGAAATGAGACATGATTTTCTTTTTTATAAGGAATCCATGAAGCATGGACTGTTGTTACCCAATCTTAATAACCAGTCTCTAAATAAATAATGAGATGTCAGAGTATAATGCTGCCATGGCAGAGAGTTGGACATAAATAGTTAAAAAAACATACATTTCCACTGTAGAATTATCATAGGTTAAAAGCTGATATATTAATATACTAATTTGACTTGCAGAATTAAAACAATCTTTAAAGGCTATTAGTTGAAAATTACAGTAAGCCTGAAATTTATTAGAATGATAGAACTCCATTTTTCTTACTTATATAGAAGGTGTGTGTAAGACTAATATTCCGTTTGTCACTAATATATGTAAGCCTGTCACCTTCCTGCAATTGTTACTGATAATTTGTCAGTAACAGTCGCATGGATGACCCGCTCCATATAAAGTCCTGTGGAAGGCCTGACTGATCTCACAGGCCCCTTCCTGAGACCTTTTTGGAGGAAGCAGCATCCTCATCAGAGTGAGGTCTAGTTTACCAAGAAAGACCCATGTCCTCTGATGAGTTGCCTTCTTGAGATGAAGCCAGATTTGAGTAAGAGCTGTGTAACTCAGACTTTTTCCTTGTCCCAGCTGACAGCCTGCCCTAATCATTCTGTGCAAGTTTTATATTTGCTGTTGGTTAAGAACTCACCTTACAAGATCCAAAGGCTGGTATTTATACCACACGCCCCAGGAGGCCCAGCACTCATAGAGCAGATGTCGGTGGTTTTCCGCTCCGTGGGTTCTAATGGAGTTTTTACTTCTGTAACTTCCCTGGGATAAAAACACCACCTTCCAGTGAGGTAATACCAAAAAATCCATAAGGAAAAGCTGATAGTAATACTAGTCTTTTATGGAAGGAGTAGTGATAGGGGTGATATTAGAAAGAAATGGATCCATACTATTGAAAGGAAAGCAGTTATTGTGGACATAATCTTGTTGATGATGCTGTGTAGTAAAAAGCACATGCTTGCTAGGAATCAGGCATGTTTGAACTGAGTTCAAACTCGGTCCCACTACTTCTTAGCTAGGAGACCTTAATCTCTCTGAGCCTTAGATTTCTAGTTCATTATGGAACTAATAATTCCTGCCTCATTAATTTTCTTTCATGGTTTGAGTGAATAAAGTGTCTTGCGTAGAGGCCATGCCCAAGCCTTAGCTCTCTTTTCCATTTGTCTAAAGACAGGGCAGTTGGTAAACAGCCATAGTTGTACCCTTGCCTTATCCACACAAAAACCCTAAAATATAAAAGCTGGATAGAACTTCAAAATTACAACAATTCAAATCTAATTCAACCACCTCATGGAGCAAATGAGGAGACCAAGGACCAGACAGCTGGAGGTTTTTCTGAGTTCAGCTAGTGGCAATGCTAGCTTCATAAACAGAAAAAGTACTTTCTGGAGGACTAATTATTAACATTAACCTGAGAAGTTCTTTCTTAGTGGAAGCTGAACAAGACTGAGAGACAAGAAACTCAGGTTCTAGTCTCAGCTTAACCAACAACTCACACAGTAACTAGAGGGAGCTAACCTTTCTCTAAACCTCTATTTAAATTTTTAACATGAAACAAGGGCAACAATATCTTCCCTTCTTGCTTTTCTGCCTCTGAAGGTTATTAGGATGTTAAATAATATAATTAAGTTAAACAGAGTAAAGAGTCAACAGTGATTACGTTACTGTTTCTGCTATCACTGATTTAGAAGGTCTCTTCTCATAGAATACAGGGTTTTACTGAGGTATGAAAACCAAAGAGAAGAGGCCTTGAATTACTCCATGTAGTTTCAGAGCTGCATCTTCTCAGACATCCTCAGACCTGCCACCTACTCATCTGCACAGATACTTCTGCCCACCTACCATTGTTCAGACACTGCCCTCACTACGGGCAAGGGCTCAGCCGTGGGAGGATGCAGTTGTCACTGAAACCTTTTTTGGGCAATCCAATGAATAACTACAAGAAGCACATGATGTTTTGGGGGGTGGGAATCTGTCTTGAGAGTTCAGAATCACCCGTGTGTGGCTTTAAAAACCTTGGGGTCAAAATGTTCGCTTTTGTCATATGAGAGGGATCATTCCAAAAATGTTTCATGGAAGTCTGTAAATAGGGTCTGAGACCAAAGCTTCTAGTTTTCTTAATGAATAAGATTTGTAAAATTCTCCATCACCTTTGCATCCTTGTGGTGTTTAAAACAACAGAAGCAGCACTGTAATCCAAATAAAAGGTATGTTTTGGAAAGACTTGCCATTTGCAAATTGTTGGAACTGTTCTCCAAAGTTTACTGGCAAACCGTTAACACTGTTTCCAGTAGAAGACTTCTGGAAATAACTCCCAGGAGTTCCAGCCTGGCTAGCTTGTGAGGTCCTACAGGGCATGGGCAAGGATAATCATCTTTGTGCTCTGTTTGTCACACAGTGACAGGTACAAAGTAGGGGGTCAATACCATGAACATGACAACAATCTCTCACCAATCATAAGGATTATGTCCCTGAAAACCTATGTGTACAAGAGAATTCTGGGTTAAATAACCCAAGACTGAATGGGGAAAGCCAGGTTAAGGGGAACCACAGTTATATTTGCTAAAGTCCTTATATATGACAAAAACCACGTAGCAAATAAAGAGAATATCAAATTTTATATATCTTAAATGAGCAATAATAGGTACAATACTATTCATTTCCATTCATCACCCTTTGGTTACCACAGGCTTTTCAAGATGGTTCCCTCCTACTCTCTAAAGAATAGCTATAAATTTCTTCGTTACAGAGACTACATGTTTCAGGAACATTTTCCCCATGGGTCTGGTGCCTCATGCAAATTTTCAGTGCTTCTTTAATTTTATGACTTGGAGTTCCTCTGAATTCATGCTGAGTGACTCTTGATTCAACTATTCTTAAATTACATAAAAAAAGATATATAGAAATAAATCTATGATGGGGGAGAGACGTCACAATGCAAGTAGACTCTAATTATCCACTGAATAAATTAAATTCATTCTGAACAAATGTCATATCAACAACTCAGTTAATGACTATTCCCAGAAGCTAATTTAATAACAAGAAATTGACAGAGGAAAGGCAGGACAATACCTCATGCAGAGGAAATGCAGCTTCATAGGAGCCATTGGTAAGCAAACGATTCAGACCTAAAACAACAAAAAAGTTCAGTTTGAATTAATACTGGGTTTGAATCCTCACAACGTTCAAGACTAATATAAGGGTGGTACTTTTTGGAGAAAACAATTAGGGTTTCAAACGTGATTCAAACCCAGCTGGGTACTCCAACAGTTTAGAAAGTTTGGCTATCTGCTAGGAAATTGGAATCGAGAGCTGGGAAATTGGATTTTCAAATAGAAAAAACAAAACAAAACAAAACAAAACGGTGAAGTATACCTACTACAGTGCCAGGCACAAAGATGGGAATGTACTGAGAAAAGTGGGTGAATTTATCATACCCCCCAAAAAGGTTTTCTACCAGGAGCTCTTTTTACATTTTTCATTCAGAAGCTTTAATGTGGATAAATCTAACCCTTCTGCATTGGACTAGCGGTATGATTTTGAAAAAGTCTTCTTGTCCTCAGGCCTCCATTTTTTCATACATAAAATGGGGGAGGGGTGTTGGATATGTGGATCTTTTTAGAGAGAGAGAGCACATGTGCACAAGGGAAGGGAGGGGCAGAGGGAGACAGAGAGAGAGAGAATCTTAGGCTGCATGCCGGGCATGGAGCCTGATGCAGGGTTCGTCCTCACGACCTTGACTGAGATCGTGACCTGAGCTGAAATCAAGAGTTGGACACTTAACTGACTGAGCCACCAAGGTGCCCTGGATATGTGGATTATTTAAAAAATAGCTTTATTGATGCATAACTGACATACCATAAGTAGCACAGATTTAAAACATACAATTTGAGAAGATTTGACTTATATATGCATACCTGAAACGATCAGCACAGTCAAGGTAGTAAACATATCCATACCCCAAAGTTTTATCATGCCACTTTGTAACTGCACTCCTCCCTATGCCATCTCCAAAGCAAACACTGATCCGCTTTCTGCCATTATGAGTTTGCATTTTCTAGAGTTTTATATAAATGAAATTATACATCATTACTCCTTTTTATCTGAATTCTTTCACTCAAGATAATTTTTTTATTGCTGAGTATTCCATCATAGGGATATATAACTGTTTATCTATTCCCCTTGATATTTGTTTCCAGTCCTCAGCTATTACAAATAATGCTACTGTGAGCATTTATGTAGAAGTCTTTGTATGGATGTCTGCTTTTATCTCTCTTGGGAAAATACTGAGAAATGGAATAATGAGATCATATGGTGGGTATATATTTAACTTTATTTGCCATCTGCATATCTTCTCTTGTGAAATATCTGTTCAAATCTTATGCTCATTAGTTTTTTTTAATAATGAAGTAAGAACGGTTTTTAAAAAATCCAAAAGGCCTTCAATAAAAAAAAGCCTTGAATTTTTTTTTCTCATAGTATATGGATTCTCTTTCCATTCTCTCAAAAATATACTTCAAAGAGCAAAAGCTTTAATTTTGATGTGGTTCAATTTATCCATTTTTTTCTTTTATCAATTGTATTTAAGAAATTCCCAACTAACCTAAGGCCACAAAAATTTCCTCCTGGAGTTTTTATAATCTTAGATTTTATATTTATTTATTTATTTTTTCAAGATTATTTATTTGTTTATTTGAGAGAGACAGAGACAGCACAAGTGGGGGAAAGGGACAGAGGAAGAAGCTGACTGCTGAGCAGGGAGCCCGATGCGGTGCTCAATCCCAGGACCCTGTGATCATGACCTGAGCCAAAGGCAGATGCTTAACTGACTGAGCCAACCAGGCGCCCCTAGGCTTTATATTTAGATCTATGATCCATTTGAGTTAATTTTTATATATGGGTTCATTTTTTTTTGCATATGGGTATGAATTTTTCCAGCACCATTTTTTGAGAAGAGAATCCTTTATCTACTGAATTGTCTTTGAGACTGTCAAAAATCAATTGTCCACATATGTGTGGCTCTACTTATGGATTCTCTATTCTGTTCCACAGATCTATTTGTCTATCTTTACATCAATACCACACTCTTTTGATTACTTTAGGTCTATAATAATTCTTGAAATCAAGAAGGGTTAAGCCTCCATTTGTGCTTTTTTTTTTTTCAAAGTTACTTTGGCTATTCTAAGTTATGAATTTTTTAATCAGCTTGTAAATTTCCATAGACACATACACACACACAACCTTGGGAGTTTGAATGAGATTGCACTGAATGTATAGATTAAATTGGGGAGAACTAACAATATTGAGTCTTCTGATCTATGAACAGGGTGTATCAGGGTATATTTTTTAAGTCTTAAATTTCTCACAAATGTTCTGTAGTTTTCAGTGTACATATCTTACATATCTTTTTTTAAGATTTATTTATTTGCGAGAGAGAGAGAGATGGGGAGAGGCAGGAGGAGAGGGAGAGAGAGTCTCAAAAAGACTGCTCTGAGCACAGAGCCCAAGTGCAGGGCTCAATCTCAGGACCCTGAGGACCACGACCTGAGCTGTAACCAAGAGTCAGATGCTCAACAGACTGTGCTACCCAGGCACCCCTTACATATCTCTTGTCAGATAAGTATTTCATATTTTTTTGATATTATTGTAAATGGTATGGTCTTTAAAATTTTAATTCCTTAGTGTTTGTTGCTGGTTTATAGAAATACAATTGAGTTTTGTATATCAGTTTTGTTTCTTGCAACATAGCCATACTCATTCTACTAGTGTTTTTGTAGATTCTGTTGGAGCTTCTATACAGATGATCATGTCATCTGAGACTAAGGACAGTTTTACTTCTTTTTCAATTTGGACGCCTACTATTTTTGTCTTATTGCATTGGCTAGTAAAATGATGAATACAAGAGAAGACATACTTGTCCTGTTCCTTATCTTGGGGGAAAGCATTTAGTTTTTACCATCAAGTATAATGTTAACTATGAGTATTTTATAGATGTACTTTACTAAGGTTGAGGAAGTTCCTTTCTATTCACAGTTTGCTGAGTTTTTATCAGGAATGAATGCAGAATTTTGCCAAATGCTTTTTCTGTATCTGTAGAGATGACCATGTTGTTTTCCTTTTTACTTTGCCGAAGTAAAACAACAAACAACAAACAAATGATCATACAAAAAGTCAACCTTGCAGACCTAGATAAGCCCTACTTGATCATGATGGATTATCCTTTTTATATATTGTTGTGTTTTATTTACTAAACTTTGTTTACAATGTTTGCCTCTATATTCAGGAAGTTATTGATTTGTAGTTTTCTAGTATAATCTTTGCCTGGTTTTGGTACCTGAGTAATACTGCTCTCATATTCTCTGTACTTCAATTTTGTGAAAGAGTTTTGTAAAACTGGTATTATTTCTTTCTTGAGTGCCTGATAGAATTCACCAGTAAGATAATCTGAGTCTGTGGGGGTATTTCTGTGAGAAGATTTTCAAGTACAAATTCAATTTCTTTAATATATATGTATCTAATTAGGTTCTTTCTTCTCATTTTTAATGCTTGTATACATAAGTTTATTTTTTTTTTTAAGTTTTATTTAAACCCCAGTTAGGTAACATACAGTGTTATGTTTCAGGTGTACAATGTAGTGTTTAACACTCCCATATATCACCCAGTGCTGATCACAGTGCATTCCTTAATCCCCATCACCAATTTAACCCATCCCCTACTCACCTCCCTTCTGGTAACCATTAGTTTATTCTCTATAGTTAAAAGTCTGTTTACTGGTTTACCTCTCTCTCTTTTTGTCCCTTTGCTCATTTGTTTTGTTTCTTAAATTCCATATATGAGTGAAATCATATGGTATTTGTCTTCCTCTGACTTATTTTGCTTAGTATAATACTCTCTAGCTCCATCTGTATCATTGCAAATGGTAAGATTTCATTCTATTTTTATGGCTGAGTAATATTCCATTATGCATTTATACCACATTTTCCTTATCCATTCATCAGTTGATGGGCACTTGGGCTATTGTAGATAATGCTGCTATAAACATTGGGGTTTGTGTATCCCTTTGATTTAGTATTTTTTGTATTCCTTGGTTAAATACCTAATAGTGCAATTGCTGGATCATAGGGTAGTTCAATTTTTAACTTTTTGAGGAAACAATACTGTTTTCCAGAGTGGCTATACCAGTTTGTATTCCCACCAACAGTGCAAGAGGGTTTCCTTTTCTCCACATCCTCACCAACACCTGCACAATCTACACATTTAATGCAATACCTATCAAAATACCAACAGCAGTTTTCACAGACCTAGAACAAACAAAAATTTGTATGGAACCATAAAAGACCCCAAATAACCAGAGAAATCCTGAAAAAGAAAAACAAAGCTGGAGGCATCACAATTATGGTTTTCAAATTATATTATGAAGTTGTAGTGATCGGGGCGCCTGGGTGACTCAGTTGGTTGAGCATCTGCCTCGGTTTTGGCTCAGTTCATGATCTCAGTGTGGTGGGACTGAGCACTGCATCGGACTCTGCACTCAGTGCAGAGTCTGCTTGAGATTCTCGCCCTCTGCCCCTCACCCCACTTGCTCTCTCTCTCTCAAATAAGTAAATAAAATCTTTTTTTCAAAAGCTGTGGTAATCAAAACAGTATGGTACTGATACAAAAATAGACACATAGATCAATAGAACATCCAGAAATGAACCCACAATTATATGGTCAACTAATCTTTAACAAAGCAGGAAAAAATATCCAATGGGAAAAAGACAGTCTCTTCAACAAATGGCATTAGGAAAACTGGACCACTGTCTTTCACCATACACAAAAATAAATTCAAAATAGATTAAAGACCTAAATGTGAGACCTGAAACCATAAAAATCCTAGAAAAGAACCCAGGCAGTAACTTCTTTGACATCAGCTGTAGCAACTTCTTTCTAGGTATGTCTCCTAAGGCAAGGGAAACAGAAGCAAAAATGAACTATTGGGACTACATCAAAATAAAAAGCTTCTGCAGAGCAAAGGAAACAATCAGCAAAACTAAAAGGCAACCTATGGAATGGGAGAAGATATTTGCAAATGACATATCTGATAAAGGGTTAGTATCCAAAATATGTAAAGGACTTATATAACTCA